TTTGCTTTATAATAATGTATGCTTGAACTTACACGTAACCCAGGCACACCATAATTTCCTTTCAGTCCTGGAAATCCTCCAATTCCCTTCGAAAAAAAAAGAAACAAATTTAAAATCTTTTTGTAGATATACAGGGGGAAATTGCGCAGAAAATTCGCAACAAAAAGCAAAACTAAGGGTCCACAAGAATAGCTGTATTTCCAACATTGATAACAAACCATGACAATGGACTAACCGGCATTCCATCAATACCAGCAAGGCCACGAACACCGGTTCCTCCCTGTTCCCCCTTGGCACCTTGTGCACCAGCTTGKCCGGCRGTTCCTGTTGCTCCATCTGCGCCCTATAGCATGGCACATTGGTTAGTTATACTACACAAGACTTATACAATATTTGAATAAATGAAAAGCTYCACTCTGAGTTGTTTTCGATAGTATACCTAAACCAAGGCAATAATTTACCATAATTTTATACCTTTATTCCTTTCAAGCCATCTTTGCCTGGACYACCAGCAAAGCCAGACGGACCCTAAATGATGAGACAATGAACCAAAAAGAGATMATTACTAGRAGCGTCCATGTCGTTAKACAGGAGTGYCAMGTCGTTTTCATAGACTTGTCTATCTTTAGATTTTTCTTCAGTTGTCTTTTTATAGGTAGCTTCTTCGCTATCGCTTACTTCACAAAGACTAGAAGAAATTTCGCTTTCACTATCTTGCGCCGCCATATTTGTTAAGATGTGACCAAACCTAATATATCTCCTAGTAATGGGCTCCTGTCATAACATAAGTGCTTACAAACCAGTCCAAGTATTTTTTTTTTGTACTTTATCCGCTTATCAGCTTGTATATGACAGTTTKCAACTTACAATACATCGTTAATAATATATTCTTACATTTTCGCCACCCTCGCCTTTTCTACCACGAGCTCCACGTTTTCCTGTTTTCCCCTATTGTAACAAGGTAAAAAGATGCAATATCTTCAATTGTGATYTAACTGGACGGTACTTAGTCATCTTMACAACCTCTTCTTTTGTCGGTCTTCAGGACAGGAAGAAGCTGCAAAGGCGACGCCACAGTAGTCCATATGATTACGTATTGATTCTCCTTACCTCTRGTCCAGGTTTTCCAGAGCTTCCCTTCGTTGCACTATCGCCACGTGGTCCCTGAAAAAACAGCAAATTATATTTATCACAATAACACCCTTCTTTATGTTCGTTTGCACTTAAGGTTATAATTCTTACCTTCGTGCCATCGAGGCCTCGTAAACCCCTTTGTCCTTTCAAACCACGTAAGCCCTGTAAGCATTCCATTATTAGAGGGCGATTAGGAAAGAAAGTGAGAGTTAAGAATCGGTTACCTGGCTTCCTCTTGATCCTGGATTGCCGGGCTTTCCCATGGGACCTATAACGCCCTAAAATGCGAACATTTTCGTGATTCGTTTGAGAATCTATTGTAAACTATACCTGATGAATTTCATTAGATTGTCTTTGATATTATCTTGATTCGYTTCTTTAGTCCATTCACTATGTTAWTTGTCATTTATTCACTWTTCATCCAGTCATCCATTTTTTTCTCTCGTTTTATTTCCCTCTCCTTTTCTCGTTSTTTTCTTTTCAGTGACAATTCTTTCGTTCGCTTGAATCACGGTTATTTCATATCTYATCAATTCCTTTTCTCTTCTAATTCTTTATCTCTATCTACTTTTCATTTCATCCCATCTATTCAAATGTTCAATTATTCATTTTGATAGTTTTGTAGTTACCGCTGGTCCGTCGTCGCCTCCGCTCCCAGGCGRACCGATTTGACCAACTTGACCCTGTACAAAATATAAACACGTTACTTCTGTCAACTCAAGAAAAAGGCGAAAAATGAAAGTGCAGGTTGACTTACTTCTAGTCCAGGGTCTCCTCTTTCTCCAGGCATACCTGCTACTCCAGTAACTCCCTAAAACAAAAAAGAAAACAAGTTACACGTGAACTTAACCTTCGAAAACCAAGTCAAATTATTTAAAAAATACAAACCTTAAAAAATATAAAATATACTAACCTTACGACCATTAAGTCCGTCTGGACCAGATTTGCCAGGAACTCCAGGTTCGCCCTACAGATACACGAGCCACAATCAAAAAAAGCAAATAGTGAGGTATAAATGTAGAACCATACCTCTGCCCCTGCTGGCCCTGACCTGCCTTTTGGTCCATGAGGTCCTCCTTCACCCTACAAAATGAATCTGCAGGTCTTGAATGTGAGCAAAACACAATGAAATCATCGTCGTRTGCATCAACTCACCTCACCGCCCTGATCACCTGTGCTTCCCTTGGATCCTTGAGGTCCAGTATCACCCTTTAGTKGAACAAGAACAATTATTCTGTCAGTGAGTAACTCAGTGAGTAACTCTAYTTACGAATGTTACTAAGGAATATCGATAAGGGAATCGTAAAGAAAACGTAGGAATACGAAGATACACGACGCAATTACAATGGGGCTGCATAGTGGCTTGAGGTTTTTAAGAAGCACTGGCCACAAAAATGGACTAGGGATCTAAATATATATATACTTGATATCGACAGGAGTTTTATATTTATAGACATACCGAGTGTCCTGGTGGTCCACGCAAACCAACATCACCGATATCACCTTGACCACCCTATTGTACAATAAATATGACATTAATATGTAATGAAAAAGTCAAAAAAGGTAGACAAAAAAAGTTTACTTTGAGGCCTTTTCCTCCATACGTTCCTTGTTCGCCATTAGCACCAGGTGGACCCTGCAATTGCGTACAACATTATTAAGCACTTTGTGCAGTGTTGTGTTTTGTTCTGGTCGATAAATGATATATATTGTTGTGTTGTGTARAGTTTCAAGAATGAGGGAGCATACACAATTCAATAACAAGAGATTGATTGAAATAAGTTGAAAATAAAAACAGCTTTCTCGACATTTTCGACTTCTTTCGCATTTTTCGATTCTAMCAATGTCTAACATGAATATATGATATTTTAATGGCCAATCASAATCCTTGAATACTMCAGTTTCGAATTAAAAGCCAATAACCGCTGTTTTATATGACAGCAGATTCTCTTACGCAAAGAACTTACCAAACACAAAAGAAAGCACGAGAAAATATTGTTAATACATAGCGCTTACAATTTACATTTTCCCCGAGTTGAGGCTAACCCTGTATTCCCGGAAGGCTCATACCTTAGGTCTCATGGGAATACAGGGTTAGTCTCAACTCGGGGAAAATGCAAATTTTCAAGACTATTGTAATAACGACATTTTCTCGTGCAATAAAAAGAATCCACATCTATACTTACCGGTGGTCCAATAAAACCTTGTTTTCCAGGCCCTCCCATGTCTCCTCGTTCCCCCTAAATTATCAATAATGTGATAAATGTAACATTAACAGATGAAGCTGACGCAAGTAACAATGTACTTACGGGATCCCCCATGGTACCATGAAGTCCACGCTTACCATCTTTACCGGGTTCGCCCTATAAACATACACAGCTAAATTAATACTTCAGTTACAGACGAGACAACAAAGCCTTTATAAGACGTGTATTTTTCATGGAGCATCAAAACGTGATTTAACAAAGCCCACCTCGTATACGAGTGTAACCATAAATCCGTGAAACAATTACTTCCAACAGTCCATACACGTTATGTGACATAGAATATTTCTGATCCAGTGATGACATCACGTGTTGGAATTAATTGTTTCACGGATTTATGACGTGATGTACTCTACCTTTTCGCCCGAGGGACCAGGCACGCCCTGTTTACCGTCAGGGCCTGGGAGACCCTAAAAGAAGAAGGATATATTAAGTAAATATAGTACTTGTGGCTATAATTGCAGCTTTTTTGATGTAAGGTTTCTGAGAAACAATTTTTTTACCGCTAAACCGATTTCTCCATCGCGACCAACACCTCCAGATTTTCCAGGTTCACCCTGAAACAAACGTTTGCGTTATTAAAATGGGATTTAACATTAATTGTGAACAAAAAAGTAAATACGTCGATGAATATAAAGGCCATGGCAACGGTAGACGCGACAGTGTTCTCGATAACGATAAAGAAATCAAGTCTGTGATACTTACTCTTTGGCCTTTAGCTGCTGGTTTTCCTGCCTGGCCTGCCTGGCCTTTCTTACCCTGTGTGGGAAATCAATRTTATTATTTTGTTTACTTCTATCCGGCATAACAGTTAATTAATCTGAAAACCGTTTTATCGAAGGCAATGATGAATTTGGACAAAGAATGGTTGATATCCAACAAAATTGTAGAAGCCATGGCGGATCCCTTTAGTCGAAAGCAGCTCTATTCGACAACCTTCCACTCGGTCATTCTCTTCGACCTTTTTTTTGAAATTCCACTATGTTTTGCATCCGGCAAAAATCCACTTTAGCCCATACAAATGCATACAAGGTATAAACTTACGCTTTCGAACTTACGCGCTTTCCGATGTCACCTTCTGCCCCCATCTCACCAGGCTGACCTGATACACCCTAAGAACAAGAAAATACAGACGAATGAAGTCAAAATGTTCGTTATTTCGAGAGGATTTATATGAATCATTAACAGCTGCCCGGTTAGCTCAGTCGGTAGAGCATCAGACTTTTAATCTGAGGGTCGTGGGTTCAAGTCCCACATCGGGCGTTGCTTACACTTTTGCAAAAGATATTGTATCTTTTGGTATCGAAGCCTCAATCTAGTTATAGACTTTGAGAAACTACGTATAAATGTGCTACCGTTGCTAAAACTCCGTGAACAAGTATAACCATTTAATGAATAGTTGAATACAGTTCAATTATTTCTTATTATTTCACGCGCTTTTGAAAAAAAACCGGAGTCAATCCTGGTCGTAAAAGTTCAAAAGTGTTGAAACTCCTAAATTACTTGATAACCTCTAAATTTTAAACCTAAATGACACAGTGATGTTTCCGTAGTGTAGTGGTTATCACGTGTGCTTTACACGCACAAGGTCCTCGGTTCGAACCCGAGCGGAAACATGAACTGGAAAGAATTTTTGGAAAAACGGTAAGAGATTTTGTCACAGTTTTGATGTGTTTCAAGGTATTACGTTGACATATTTATATCCCCTAGATGTATTGATCCTTATATCAAAGGTACTTGTGCATCCGACAACCTTTGCGATCGTTTGCTCTGTTTTACAAATGATCTCCTGAAGAAAGTTGCTTTTTGATTGTTTCATATTTAAATATGGCGAATTTTGGTATGTAAGAAAATCGCGCAAAGCTTCTTGGATTCACATATGACTTTAATAGGCTCGATTTTGCGGCTTTTAATTTTTGAAAATCACTGCATTAGACTAATCAACTTCATCATGTTAGGAGTGCAAACAGTTTTATCTGATATCAACAAGCTGCCCGGTTAGCTCAGTCGGTAGAGCATCAGACTTTTAATCTGAGGGTCGTGGGTTCAAGTCCCACATCGGGCGTTGATTACTCTTTTGCAAAAGATATTGTATATATCGAAGCCTCAACCTAGTTATAGACTTTGAGAAACTACTTATAAATGTGCTATCGGTGCTAAAAATCCGTGAACAAATATATAGCATTTAACGTTGACTAGTTTAATACTGCTCATTTTTTTTTCTTATTATTTCACGCACTTTTGAAAAAACCTGAGTCAATCTTGGTCGCTAAAGTTTAAAAATGTTGAAATTTCTAAAGTACTTGATAACCTCTAAATTTTGAACCTAGATGACACAGTGATGTTTCCGTAGTGTAGTGGTTATCACGTGTGCTTTACACGCACAAGGTCCTCGGTTCGAACCCGAGCGGAAACACAGCAGTTACAGTTTTGAAAAACGCAGATATATTTTCAGTAGTGAATAGTTTTTTTGAAGTTATAGCTCTTTTCTAAAATTGATATTCTCTTTATAATTAACATAAGCAGTTTATAAGCTGATTTTTATCCGTCAGTCAAAAACAGCTTTGAAGTGCTTTATAGCAGTTCATTGTGCCAAGCCGATCTTTCGCCTATGTATTTCCCACATTGTCCCTGTAATATTTAATATTAAAGTTTACAGCATGTTGAAAGAATTCCTCTTTCATATCTATTCTAATATCTTATTAACCGAGCGCGAGGGCCGTACGGGAAGTTATGGACCGAGGTTTTTTTCCACTGACTTGGGAACTAGGGAAAAAGCGAGGTTCCATAACTTCCCGTACGGCTCGAGCAAGCGAGATTAATAAGATATTTATTATATAGTATTTTCAGGGAAAATAGTAAAATCAATAGAGAATTCGGACATAAAAATACGTTTTTGTTCGTACTTTTCTTGTCATTCAAAATAGAAGGAAAAAAGAAAGCCTGAGAAACCTTGATGACAAAATTTGGAATCATTTTGACTCTTTCTTATACAGTACAACTACAAAAAGAGAGAAAGCGAGCCTTTTTAAGGTAAAAAACGTTTTTTTCTCGTTTCATCTGGTCCGTACGGGAATGTATGGCCCGCTTTTTAGCCAATGAAATCGTGTGTTACATCCGAGCTATATAATAAATAACAGTATTGCACAGCTTCCGTAGTGTAGCGTGCGCTTCACACGCGCAAGGTACAGGAATGATTCTTTTTATATTTTTAGAATTTTGAATACACCTTTCCAGTTATAGCAACTCGATAATTTTCTCTTATCTCAAGTCCGACATCGGGCGTTGCTCTATATTTTTCAAATCGGATTTTGCATTTTAGTGTAAACACCAATTTCTTTTCCTATATTACACCTGTATTTTGCTCAATGTACAAATCAAGCTGCCCGGTTAGCTCAGTCGGTAGAGCATCAGACTTTTAATCTGAGGGTCGTGGGTTCAAGTCCCACATCGGGCGGTTTAAAATCTTTTGCATAATTTTTCAAATGTTTGTCAATGTTCATTAGCATGACATTTGTTTAAATTTGTTTGAAAAGTGATTTCGATTTATGCAAATTAATCATTTACCACGACTATATCTGGAGTATACTATAATTCATCAAGGTTCTACGATTGAATGGTACTTACGGCTGGACCCTGACGTCCTGCTGAACCAGGTCTTCCCGAAAGCCCTTGCGGTCCCTTTAAGATGAATTAACAAATAGATGATAACGAGATCTTATCAATACAGCGGGAGTTACGCTCTCATCCCGTTCTTAAAGTACAGTAATACAAAACCAGCAGTTAACGCAASAACTATGGACATACCATATCGCCAGGGTCTCCCTTGCTTCCCTCCGCTCCTCGACTTCCCTGTGATTTAGAAAGCGTAMTTATTTAAAACTGAGATTCAGTTTTTTAGTATAAGATATTCATCTTTTATTTGATACCTGTTTTCCGGTCAGTCCATCCAGGCCACGGGAACCCTGCATGCCCTATGGAAGAAATAAAGTGTCTACTGTATTAAATCATTCACGMCAYGGTCGAAAGTATGACAGCTRTAAAGACTCTTGCTTATAGAYGAAAGAGCGCTCATTCACTWWTATCTGAATTAATGGATGAATACTRRGGTCTTACTGTCTTTCCATCATCTCCTGGCGCTCCGGTGTTCCCTGGTTTTCCTTTGGGTCCCTGCATAATATGAATCCTCATGAATATTACACTGGGTGGWGTAGCACGGCGGTGTTTTCTAGCTAATAAAATAGTTTCAAATGGAAAACGATACTCGGGCGATATGCTGCAGCTTAAAATATGTAAAGTGAAAATATTAATTGATTTTTGAGATTGGGAACAATTTTGACTGTTTTTTTATGATTCAAGACATCTTTGGATTTAGCGGGAACCGTATTGATAATTCCAATGCGCAGTGCAGTGTAGAATGAGACTTGCAATCAGTATTGAAATATCTTTACCGTATCTCCAGGAGGTCCCTCAAAACCTTGTTCACCAAACTGTCCTGGGGCTCCCTGGTAAACCAAAGGAAAAAACACAAATAATATACTGACAACGTTTCACGGTTGTACATGAGGTCATAGCCGCCATGTTTGATAAAACAAAGAATTTCTCGTGACGTCATTGTCGACATTGTCATTGATGAAAACCACAACAGCAAAAAAAAAATCCTCATTAGCTTCTCTTGTTCATTTATCCAACATGGCTGCGATTTGCAATAATGGCTTTGGTCTTATTTTTCTGTTTGTTGCTTTAC